AATTTTTAATATAAATTTATTAATATATCTTTTTAATATTATATTACTTTAATAATATCAAAATTATTTACTTATACTGAAATTCTTTAACAATATTAAAATTATTTATTATGTTAAATTTATTTATTATATTATTTTAGCATTATTGCATCATTTTAATATTACTTGAATAATATCAAAATTACCCACTTATACCAAAATTCTTTGACAATACTAAAATTATTTATTATGCCGAAATTTATTTACTGCGCCATTTTGGCATTACTATGTCATTTTAATATTACTTTAATAATGTCAAAATTACTTACTTATGTCGAAATTCTTTGACAATGTCAAAATTATTTATTATGCTGAAATTAATTTACTGTGTTATTTTAGCATTACTATGCCATTTTGACAATAGTAATTACTATTTATAATAAGAATTTTGACATTTCAGCATTTATTAAAAAGATTTCAGCAAGCATCCTTAATTGTAATATGATTATTGCTAAATTTTAGTATTATTGCTAGTTGTATTATTATTTTATTGATTAATATCTAAATTATTTGGTTATAAATGCTATTTATTATCTTTTCTTTTATTGTATTCAGCCACACAATGCTCAGCTTTACCACATGAGAAACAAGTAATTGTTCTTCTATTGATATAGTTATTATTATTTGATTGTTATTTTGTTTCAGCATTTTTCTTAAAATAACATTCTTTTTTAATATGACTTTTTTTTCTATAATAGTTATAAGTTATTGTTGTTATTGTTATTACTATTACTATTATTGCAATTATTATTTCATTGTATTGATTAATTATTGCTGTTATAAGCCAGTTGTTTCACTGTTTTGATGAGTTTAGCCAAAGTTTTTGTCAAATCATTTTGTGAAGTCATTGTTGAAATTATATTATTTGGAATTACAATATTTTGAACTGATGAAGGTATTGAAAATGTGATTTGATATGGATTAATCATATTATAAGTTCTGTTGTATCCAATTTTAGTTTGAATAGCTAATTCAATTGTGTCATTTAAAGTTGCTGAATTTTAACAGTTAATGAAAAAAACAATTGATGAATTGAGATCTTTTGTAAATTTGTGAATTTTATAATCAGCTGGATAATCATCATTTGGATCAATTTTATTTAATAAGATTTTTATATCATCTACATATTGAATAACTGTTTCATTTAGATCCTGAATCTTAATAACTAGTTATTGTCTCCAAGTCATAATTTGTGTATTGGTTTTAAATTGGACCATGAACTGATTTTTAAAAGAAGTATTATTATTTTGAGTCCAGATTTGAGGCTAATCATTATGTGCTTATTTCTGCTATTCATACCAATTATTAGCAATACCTTTGAGATATGCAGATACTACTATAATTTTTCTTGCATTGATTATATTATTTACTTCAGCACAATAATTGAATTCTTTAAATCAAGTAATTGAATCATCAGTTCCATTACCTTGGAAAATTAATAATGATAGATTATTGCATTCAGTTTGTCGATTTTGTTGTGCAGTCATTGCATTAACTAATAGAATAATAGCTTCAGCCATATATCTAATTGCTTCATTTGTTATTTGATTATTTTGTTATGGTGGAGGAGGTATTTGTTATTGATTTTGCTGAGTTTGCTGTTGGATTGGCTGTTGTAGTTGTTAAATTTGTCAAGTTTATTGTCTTCTTTGTGTTCTTTCAGCTCTTCTTGTTGTGGCTGTTTGCTATTATAAGTAACGAGTTCAGAGTTGATTAAAGTTGACAATATCTTCATAAAAGTTTTGAATATAATTGATTATTTTAAGTGAAACTTTGTCGCTGTTATCAGAGATTAGCTGTGTTAATTATATTGTTGCTGTACTATTATCTTGTCCAAGTAGTTGCTGAATGAAGAGGGTTTTTACTAAAATAAATAAACAAGTTCTATCATTATTTGATAATTTTTCAGTTATTAACGCAGTTATAAGTAAATGAAATTGTTTTTGCACTTTTATTGCTGTTGATCTTGTTGGATCCAGTTTTTCTTTGTAATTTTTGCTCCACAGAGGGAGCACCAAAAATTTTTTACTGGTTTGTGATCTTTATTGATGAAGATATTCACGAGATAGGTGATAGTGACTGTATTCACGCAAAAATATATAATATAAATCTTTCTAAAATATGAGTTCTTTTATAATTATCACAAGTGGAGCTTTATAACTAATATGAATAATAATTCAACATGTAATGAATTATTATAACAAGAAAGACAAGAAATTCAATAAGAATAAGATAATTAGAATAATCATCAGTCTGATCTATTCTTTATTATTATCAAGTTCAAAGATAAAGTACAAGATGTCTAATTTTCTATGTTAAATTACATTTATTTAAATACATGTTAAAGTAATACAAATCTATAAGATTTGTAATAATGTAAAAAACCAATAAAATAATAAAGTTATAACATGCGTAATGCCAAGAAATGATAAATATAATACAAATTAATCTAAGTATTACAATTGAAATTAGTGAAATATTGACATTACATTAAATAAATTAGATGAATCAATAATCAAAATTAAATAGATTAATAATTAGAAATCAAAAATCAATAAAATATAATAACTAATAATTAATAAAATGATTAGTGATTTATAATATCACTATATATAAATAAAAGATAATTAAAAATAAATAAATAAATAAATAAATATTTATAAATAGAAATTGATTGAATATTACTTGGAATCTGATAATATCTCATGTCAGGTGATCAAGTAAAAGAGTAAATAGTGATAATATATATATATTCTGAATTTTCTAGATTTTTTTCTAATAAAGTTATTTTAATTACAAAATTATTGCAAAAAGTTTTTATAATTAAAATATAAAATTAATTATAAAAAATTTTGCAATAACTTTGTAATTAAAACAATTTTATCAGAGAAAAATCTAGAAAATTCAGAAAAAATATATATTAAACTATAACTTATAATTTTTATTTTAATATAAAAATAAAAAAGATTTATTAATAAACTTAAAAACTTTTATATAAAACAAAAATTTTGATTTTTACTATATTTTATTAACAAAATTATATGTGTGATTCTATAATTCTATTAGTTACTATAATTAAATTTCTGATAAAAAATCAAAAATAAATTTATTTATTAATATTTTAAATTTAATTTGATAAAAACTTATAAAAATAAGTTTGAATTATTTTTTATATTTAATCTAAAAAATTTCTAATAAAAATTAGAATAAACTAATATTTTAAATTATTTTCTGTATTTATTTGACAAAATTAATAAAAAATTAAATTTATATTCCATTTGACAAAAACTAAAATAAATAAATATTTTGAATTATTTTCTACTAATTTGAAAAAATTTAATAAAAATCTTAATATCAAAGACTCTTTCATTTTGTTTTTCTCACGAGTGAGAAATATTCATTAACAATTAAAAATTCAAAATAACAAAAAGTAAAAATATTTATAAATCCAATTTTAATAATTCCAATACAGCGATTTGTTTAGCATATTAATTTTTAATCAAACTTAAATATTTTAAAATAATTTTCAAATAATAATATTTAATCTGGAAAAAATCTATGATAAATCTGATAAAAACTAGCTAAAAATTATTATTATATTTATTCCAGATTTTTTCTAATTAAATACTATTATTCAAAAAACTATTTTGAAATATTTAAAAATTAATATTAAGATTTTTATTAAATTAAATTTCCAGAATATTTTTTGATTACTAAAAATTTTCGGAAAAAGAATACTGTTTTTTTCGCAGGAATATTAGTTGATAAATTTGTTACTTTTTATTGTTTAATAATATAATTAATTTAAGTTTAAGTCATTTTTAATTTTAATTAATTTAATAATCAAATTTAGTTATAATCTCTTTATAGTTGTAATTTTTTTATTAATAAAAATCTTGTTATTTCTTAAACTGTAATGCAGGCAAATTTGTCTATTAATTTTTATTAAATTTGAGTTCAATTAATAAAATATTTTTATATCGAAATAAACTATATAATAAATTATTTAAAATTCAAGAAAATTTATTAAATTTAAAAAATGAATAATGTAATTTGATTGACAAAACTTTAAAACGGAATCTTCTTTTAATAAAGTTCTACACGAAATTTCAAGTTTTAATTTAATTTTACAAAATTTCAAACTAATACATGTACATGTATAAAGTGTACAATATCTAGTGCTGTTACACATGCTACGCGATAATTTGTAATTATATGCAACAAGGTCTATATATGCTATTTCTATTTATAGCAATTTCTTGCCATTCTCTATTGGAATCTGTGTCATAGTAGATAATCCCTGAATCTTCCAATATTTATATACATTATTTTTAAATAGTAATGAGCCAATAACAAAAAGTCCACGAGAAATCCACCCAATAATCACGATAATGTCAATCACAAAAACACCCCAAGGAATATGATTTATCACAAACGGACATGAAGAATAATGGTATTCGAATTCTGAAAAAATTGTTAAAAAACCAATTAATTTTGATAGATGTGTCATTTAAAAAAATCTTAATTCTTACCTTCATCGTCTTCATCATCAGTGACTGCATCTATCTTCTTATTTCTGCGTCTAATTTCAAATAATCCTGCATTACCCCCATACTCACCCATTGTAGATCTAACGGTGACCTCTCGAACTATAAACTCGCGCCCACCATCCCCCGACAATATTTCGTTCTTATTAGGTTCGAAATTTTCAGTTCTGTATGACTCGATCCAGTGATCGTTTGTTTCTTTGTTTATAACCCGTGCTACATGTGTCACATCACAACCTTCGTGATCGTGTCCTGCGAATATGAAGTGAGGTTTTAATCGCGTGAGAATGAATTTGCTCGCGTTCGGGGATAAGTGATTTTGTTCTTTTATAAAGTTGAATCTGATTTTTATGAGTATAGAAATTTGTATTCAGAATTCCGCAATATGTAAATATAATTCAAATGCGAATATGGAAGCTTACTGATCATAGCTTATCATCGGCCAATCCACGCATATACCCGCCTGTTTATGTAATGGCATATGAGAAAGCAATATAAATGGCGCATGATAATTCTTTTCACGTTCGGCAACAACTGAATCAAGGAAATTCCACGTTTCAGAACGCAAATACTTTATTTAGGGAAAAAGAAATACTAATTAATTTACAGCGACGTGTCTTGAATTGGAAACATACCAAAAATAAAGATTACCTCATCCCGTGCTGGTCCATCAATATTCTGCGCATTAACTACAATTAAATGATGAATTCCAGATTCATCATCTTCATCTTCGTTTTCTCCCTCCTCTCTATTATTAAACTCGTTTTTAATAGGTATTTTTTCGACAAAGTTCATTTTCCCAAATTCTCGTTCCCAACGATCAACTCGAGAACGCGTCATATCACGATTATACCCGATATCATGATTTCCCGTCAAATTAATTAATTTATGCGTGTATTCCTAAAAGAATGCCCTCGTTTGTATTAGGACGAGGTACCACTATTATTACCTCTTAATAACTTAAAAGAAAATTATTAGCATATATACTCGCTCACATTATTGGGATCACCAAAAATCCATTTGTACCGTTGCACACGTTTCTCAAACTCTCGATCACCAATCCATTGACTAGAGAATAAATCACCGAGTATTATTACATGTGTGGGAGGAGGCCTAAATAAAGAGTAAGGCGATACGAAGGAGGTATATATGTGGCGGAAATATAAATCATTGGCAATGAGATCAATTTCACCTATCATTCAAAGCGAAAATTTAATGAATTTGGAGTCTAGCAGGATTAAGTTCGATTATAGCAAATGCGGATTATCTAAATATCATTAATAGAAACCTCTAATTCCTTGTTTAACAATTTTGGCATCTCCCTCAATTTGAGGGTCCGCTAAAAAAAGTATTCTTATTTCGGCATCTGGGTGTTTCCAAAGATTTTATTAATACAAGATACAAATATAAAAAAGGGATTTATCCTTTGTCATCTGGTTACCTGTCCACTGCCAGTGACAAAATAAGGTATAATAATATAAGTATAGTGTTGCCCCGAGCCCAATCACCGTTAAAGACTGGAGTAATTGTAGAAAAAGTTGCATTCGTTGTTCTATATATGCTGTTTGTTTTTCTGTAACCAAATAAAAGATCAACTATTTAACTAATTAATTTATGCATTGTAACGTTTCTATTTATTTTATCCAGGGACCACTTTATTTTTATTGATCAAATGCGATCTCTTGTACAATTTTCGCGTATTCTTTCTGCTCGAAACACACCTTTGCCTTATGGTTTGGGAAGAAGGGGTATACCGAGTCTTATCATAAGGCAACAACAAGTTGCTGCATATAGCACACGAAAACCACCACTTAGCATTTCTAAGGAAGGCTGGGTAGAGCCCGATCCACAGTTCGGTGACTACCCTAATTTACCATGGCAATATGCTCAACTGAAAGATCCTCGCCTTGGGTGGTGGGATAAACAAGAGAGACGTAATTTCGGTGATCCGGTAATTCATTTCGATTATTGGATTATTTGAGAAAATAAAACCATTTCTTTATTAGGCATTTAGTCATAGTTTAGCTTATTAATTATTGATTTTAAATAAAAAAACCATCGAGATAGGTTCATAAAGACTTTGAAGCCCAGGATATCTTTGCACCGGATATCTACCCGATAACCCTATCTTTTGTCTTTAAAGGACTTGCGGTTGCTACTGGAGTGATTTGCGCAATTTCGTTCATTGCGACTATGACATTTGATCCTACACCAGATGCTGTATGTATTTGTTATTTTATTATTATAAATTGATGGGTGTAATTAAATATTTATATATTAGATACCACGATCGTTTATAAGGGATGGATTTCCACCCCAATTTGATTGGAGTAAGAAGGATATCGAAGGAAACCCTGTGGTATGTTAATTTGAGTTTCATTTCTTGGTATAATAACTTTATTAAAAAACTTGAGCTCTCTGGAATTTATACAGGAACTGCCAAGTAATAATAAAAAATCGATTTAATTTTTTGTTATTTGTTTTCCATTTCATCATCTGGAGATTTTTTTGATTAAATTAATGTATTTTGTGGGCTCTTGGTACCATAATTAAAAAAAAAATTGAATCGCGGCGAATATCACACATTATTTGTGTCTACGAAATAATAATAAAATCCGCATTCAAGGAAGTGAACATCATTACGTTTATTGTCGTCAAGAAACACGCATGCAAATCCTTTCTTTCCATTGTGTAGAAGTGTCGTCATAGCAAATCTCGTTAGATAGAAGTGTCGTCATACCAAATCTAGTATGCACATTCCTTCCATTAGATAGACGTGTCGTCATAGCAAATCTAGCATGCGCGTTGTACTACATATGTGGAGATATAAATATGAACTCACGTCATTGTTAGTCTGAAAAAAAAATTGCACTGTAATGGTTGATCCAACATTATTCCCTTACCCTCCTCGAGCGCGTCCGCGGTCCCCAGCAGAAGCACAAATTCTATATGAACGTATAAGAAATTGCGCCTTATGGTGATTTTTTGAACCGTTTGACAAATTTAAACACGTGTCTGTCTTGAATATTCACGTGTTGGTTTGCTATATAGGTTGGATGCAATTCCGGGCCTACCGGTTTCAGTTGGATTTGATGCTATTCTGGGGCTAATTCCATCAATTGGTAAATTTAAATGAAATGATGTATGTATGATTCTATCATTCAGGCTAAAACCATTTTTATCGCAATTCTTTGAATAGGAGATGTTTCGGGGCTGATCCTTGGAATGGTACATACGAGTAATTAACAGATTCCTTAGATCATCGCAATATTGACAAACTAATTCATCATTCGTTTTTCAGTATCAAATATTTCTCACTTCTTGGTTTGAGCTACCTACCAGTCTATTATTACAAATGATTGGTCATGTAATACTAGATTTCCTAATTGGAATTTTTCCGCTAATCGGTACTAAGAATTCTTCCTTTTATCTTATATTTTGAAAATGACCAGCATGGGTAATCTATAATCATTTTTTTATGTTAAGGCGACGTGTTGGACATTTTTTACAAAGCGAATTTATACAACTTGCAACTTTTAGAAGAGTGGCTGAGAAAAAAATATGGCAATAAAATACACATATATGATGTATGATGGTGATGAGAATCCAAAAAATAAGTCATCGAAGAAACGAAATAATGAATTGCAGAAACTGCTTTTATTTGTGACATACATAATATTCTTTATTCATTGTTTACACATTTAGCATAAACCAACCATTTTGTGTGTGCCGTCATCAAATAACATGAATGAATGATCAAATTTATATTTTCCAAAACGCGTCTTGCTCCATAAGCTCTTTGGAACTTTTATAGCCGCCGCTACCTTCTTTGAGCGCGCGTTGGCAAAGACTTTGAATCGCATTATAGTATGGCATCTGGCTCATTATTTCAGGTTTCGCGTTCTTTTGTGGTTTCTCCAATTCGAGACTATTCAGAATTTTGTCAGCAAGGTAATGAAGCCACTATTTGAAAAAAAAACAATGTCAACATTTTTATTGGGGATACGTAATAGTGAAATTTTTTTCCTGTCAAATAAACTCACGAAAACATTTGTTTTCGGACAAAAGGATTGCCAGTTCCCTTTTGTCTCTTCCCTCATCATGCGATAGATTTCATATTGGTAATCGCCTATTCATATAACATTAATTATCTTTTAATTGACAAAGTGACGAAAAAACAAAGGTTAAGTTTAAAAATTACCTTCACCGGTGAAATACCCTTCATCTCGGATATCGACATGAATTGTATTTTCATCTAGATCATTTTTCGAAGTTGAAAAAATTCTTTTCGCATGTATCCAAAAATATCAAGATATGAAACTAGTAGATAGACACACACCTATATCCATGCGTGAAAGTGTATAATCAATAATACAGGCTCTTATTCCAAAGCAAGGAATCTCATAAACCTTCCCTTTAGAAGGATCATAAAACGTGACGTGTTTCAAGTTGGTAGCCTTGATCGTAATATTTCCCCAATGCAAGTCGCGATGCTGTAAAATAATAACAATTGAATTGCTGATTATTTATCTAATAATTATTTTAGCTTTAATATTGACTTACCTCAAATTTGAGAGACTTGAGCGATAATAGAGCGAGAGATGTAATTATTAGTATAGGTTAAAATTTGTAATCATACCAGAAGCCATTCATTTAAAGCACCTCTTCAGCCAAAGCCAAAGTCCATCCTATTTGTGCTAAAATGCTCCATGCTTGACGCCATGTCTTTAATTTCACATGTTCCAAGTCAACGCCGCCATGTTCAATTACAAATATAGTATATATTTGATTCTGGTTGAAATAGTCTAATAATCACAGTATAAAATTAATTCATTGTAAAAAAGAACAAAGAGGATGAATTGAATTCAAGTTATACCGGGACGATTGTTTTCTGATCTATGTTGGTTACCCCATCGATCCCAGGCCTCGATTAGAGATATCGGATATGTCCCACGGCAAATTCCTACTCTGGAAATGCACTTTAAATGATTCATATAAAACTTCTTAACTAATTTATTGTGTATATTTATGACATACCGATACACTTTTAGAAATCCCGTTCGAATTTCCGGATGAAGTTTAGCATGTCCACCAAGTTCCATAGTAATTTTGACTTCTTGCATTACATCCAGAACTTCACATTGCACTTCACCATTCACTAAAACTTTTTTCCCTTGTCCAAATGGTATTATCTTTAGAACACATCTTGTTTTATTTGAAGTGAATTGTGAAGTCGTTACTTCAAATACTTCAGAGAAAGTGGCCTCTCCAATCTTTTTGGCCATTCCTAAGCATCTAGCAAATAGTTAGGAAATTTAGTGTAAACTAATTGATCGTAGGAAAGCGCGATTATTCCATTTGTTACGCACTCTGATCCCAGAAATTCTTCAAATGAATAATAATCTTTTTGACCGCAAATTTCCAAGAGCTGCAATAAATTAGCTTCATCATTTTTTATCGTCTTTTTATTCCTTGTCTTATTCTTTGGACGATTTCCATTTCTAGAAACTACTTTTTTTATCGGGGTTTCATTTTTAGAAACTACTTTCTTTATTGGTGATTCATGATGCCAAGAGATAGGCGCGATTTTATTTTCCATTGTTTCATGCTGTTCACTTATTAATATAGAATCATTCGAGCTTGCTTCTTTGATCGGTTGATCTAATAACTCTCTGCTGGCTTCAGCTGCAAATAAATTTTTGTCTTCTTCAACCACTATTTGTTCCTTATTAGAATTCTTTGGAGTATTGGTATTTATATCATTATTAAAGTCCTCATTCTGACGATTATCAACTACTATTGAGGAGCTACTAAATTCATAAGGTACAGGTTTTGAAGAATAGTCCGGTGATTTGAGATCAAGACTGAATTTATCCAGTGGTATTGAGGTAGGAGAACTAGATTCATTCAGATTAATCGGAATGACATTCTGATTGATAGCTTTCAAAGGCGTACGAGTTATTACCAACTTCTTTTTAGGACTTGAAGAAAGCCGAGCAAATCGTACAGATTTACTAGAGTCTGAAATTTCGGATTTACTCGCTGTATTCGGTAGAGTATCTTCAGGATCTGTTGAGGTTTTTAGTTGGTGACTGTTTTCTGTGAATCCCTTTGATTTTTTGAGAATAGACGTCAATGGCACCATTTCCCTTGATATCGCTGTCTTGGAGGTTTTATTATTACTTTTTCCGGGTGAATGATAAAGTTTTGCTTTGGTAAACCCTTTGACAAAAGGTTTTTTTGATGAAAGTTTACTATTTTCGTCTCCAGGCCCACCAAAGGACCAACTCTTCAAGTAATTATCCAAACTAAAGACTTCTGTGGATTCTCCATGATTCGATCCCGCGTCTACTTTATTATTGATAGTATCGTGTTGAGCAACGCGTCTACTCTTATCCTTTCGATTAATCGTATTGTTCTTCTTGTATGAATGCATCAAAATAAGACTGATTTGTAGAAAAATAGAAAAAAGTTTAACGCGCGTGCCAAAGAAATATGGTAAACAAAACCTAGCTTAAAAGGGTAATCAATCGTCCAGGGGTGATATGTATACCCTAATCATCAGACTTGAAACGATCATGGGGAATCACGCGTTACCAATACTGTGGATTACACAACATATTTCAATCGGATAGAAGTTTTGTGTAAATAGACCCAGTAGCGATAAACCGCGCCATCTCCAGATATAAGATTTTTTTTTGTTAAGGTGCGCAAAGGAAGAATTCTTTCAGACATGTGGTTGTCAAACGTAGCAAACAATTTAAATCTATCAAATTCTCCTTCAGCAAATATTCTCTTCAAGCTTCCTGATTTAATTGACCCTACTCCAAAAATTCAACAGAATGCAAACATCTCAGGAGAACAATATATCCGAACCCTCGCCCATTACATTCACGCTAACGAGAGACGATTAACCACCTCAACTCAAGCGTCTCCGCCACCGTCTGGCCATCGAAGAGCAGATAGTGGAAGTGGTAGTTTCTCTCTATCAAATCTGTGGTCTATATCCACAGCATTAACTAGCACTTATTTAATAAACAAGTCAACTCCGCCGGCTACACAGATACCTTCGCCTGCCGGGTCGAATTCCTCTTATCAAAAATCATCAAATTTGGTGACACTTGATCATCATCACTTTTATTATTTGCTGACAAAATTTAGTGAGTACGGATTTGATGTTGGAGCCTTTGAATCGAAACTGGATGGAATGGAGGATAATGTTAATAATAATAGTCGTAGTAATTCTAAAGATAAATTAGAGACGGCGTCAATAACTTCGGCTACGTCTGTTAATTCCATGTCTTCTGCAATGTCATCCATGTCATTATTTTCAGGATGGCATGGATGGTCAAAGGCGGCTCAAAGCGAAGAGGTACCAATTGAAGAGGATATTAGATATATATATCGTGTTTTTCTTAAACTTTCGGGATTGAAGTTGGCTGTTATTTCACATACAAAAATTGAAGGTTCTGAATCATGGTCGTCATTAGATTCAATGCTATCTTTGACCCCTTTCAGGAATCTTACACAACTAGAGATATGCAAATTGCCAATAAAGATTATTGATGGATGGGATCTATTACAGGAGAAACTCGAAATGCTCACTATCCAAAATGGTTCGATAGATGATATTACGGAATTATTTGTTAATGCTGTTGTTACCTCAATGAAAAGAAGAAAAATCAAAAAGAACAAGAAACTTGTGGTCAGTGATGAAGAAGAAACAACAGACAACAGCATCAGTAAATCTGACTCTACTAAAAAATCACAAGAAACAAATGACGACGATCAAGATCCAACTAGCATTCTACCCCCGAGAATTTGGTCTCGTCTTGTCTCTATCAATCTCTCGGAAAATTCTTTGACTTTCATTGCTAACGAACCAGTGTCCTTCATTACCACATGCACACATTTGGATTTATCGCATAATCTGTTCATTGCTGTGCCCGAAGCATTGGCCCAATTATATAATTTGCAGTATTTAAATCTGAGTCATAATATGATTGAATCTGTTCTTAATATTTATAAGGTGCTGGGGAATGTGACAAAATTGGATCTGAGGAACAATCGAGTGGAGAATTTGTGTGGATTGGAACGTGTGATTACACTTGAATGGGTGGACATACGAGAAAATCGATTGTTCGATTGGGAGGAAATTGGGCGTATGACTGAAGTCTCTGGAATAAAAGAAATCTATGTAGAGGGCAATCCCTTTGCTCATCCTCAGGTCTGTTAATATTTAAGTTTTTACAGTAGTTAGTATTAATATTTGAAACTTTTGAGAGCATAGCATCTTTACCCCCAAAAAAGACGCTGTTCTAAAAGTGATTTTTGCATGATGAATGCGGGTAAAATTAATTTATTTTAAACTTTATTTTTGTTCTCTATTCCTTTTTACTATTACTACTACCTTCTACTACTATTAAACAGAGCAATTACCGTGTAAACATTTTTACGGAATATAAAAAAAATGATTTGGACATACTTCTGGATGGCTACGGTCCTTCAATGAAAGAAAGGCGCCAAATCAATGTCCCCACAAAACAACCAGAAGAACTTCAAAGAGTCCCGACTGCTGCTCTAAATCGAGTAATGTCTATAGAGCACCTGCAAGTATCTCCAAAGAAAGGAGCCACGCCTTCCATTGATATACCAGTACTAAAACAAAAGAAACGAAACAAGCGTATTGTTGATCCGCATGATGACGCAGATGAATTATTGCCAGATAAGAACAGTAATAATAATGGGACCGAAGAAATTTTGGTGAAGCATAATAGACCAGGAGCCGGCAAAAAGAAAAAAGATCCGGCAATGATATCATCATCTCCGCCCAGGTCTAATGAAGCTTCTGACCAAAAAAGACCTATGCATCGTGGCATTAAGGTTGAGAAAGCTTATGCTCATGATATAGATCCAAAGGTGCGTGATCTACGCAAAAAGAAGTCGAGTAAAAATATCCGTGCAAAAACTTTGGACACACCACCACGATCACCGGCACTTAATCCTGCATCCGCAATAAGTGATTCGGAAGTGGCCACTCACACACCAAGTGGATCACCTCCGATAGGGGAAGATTTTAGAAACAGAATGGAGAAACTGAGAAATGAAGGAGGAGCAGCGTGGCTTAAAGTCTTTAATGAGATGGAGTATGGTGAGGGAAATAAGTTACGAGAACCTAGATTGAAACAGGCACTGCATCATGTGTTGCACGGTAAAAAAGACACTGAGAAAAATCAATCAAAGAATGTGAATTCATAATTTAATTTCTGTTCTCTGGAGAGATGTAAATCCATTCTTTTTTTCGAGCAACGTCTCTGTCATTTGCTAAATCAAACTATTCTCGATATTGAATCAATTTGAGATTTTTATTTTGGATATTGTTATTTAAATTCCTTTCTGAATTCATCCACCACCATGATAATTACTATACCCTTTCCATTCAATTTAGATTTCATAATACTTGTAAAATATATAAATATTTAAACATTTAATTTGCTATGGAAATTACAGATCAAGAACAATTGTTAGAAATAATTCTTTTCCCACTTTATCAATTATTGTAATGCGTATTCAAAGAATCGTAACAAGCAATTTTTAGATTTTTTGAGGTATACTTATTTATTTATATTTATTTAATTATCAAGTTTCTTTTTGATGGACGATTTTTAATGAGAAAGTTGCATTATTTATTCTCATTCTGATTTTTAATTCAGTCAGTGTGTGAAGGGGTGGAAAGAAATAAGTAGTTAGTATTAGGTAGGTAAGGTATGAGATGGTTGGATTTTTATATCGTAAAAAATAAAAAATAATTTTTATCGCATTAGCGATAACTTGTTTTCACGGATGATGACGAGATTTTTTCAAATAACAACGTCGATCTACAAATTTATGTAGAATTTCTCACCGAAACCAAGCCACTTTTTAGAAAGATTTGACAGGAAAATCATATATATATGTTGTGCCTCAGATGTCGATTTGCGTCAGATGTCGCTTCATGCGATTTTATTCGGCCAACATTAACCTATTCACCAGCACTAACCGTAATCCTAACCCTAACGCTAGTAATACTCCCATCTTAATTTAGGCCGATCGACACCTGACGCAAATCGACATTTGAGGCACAACATATATATATATTAATAACAAAGATAATTTATTTAAAACAAGCATATATTTAGGGAAAATGGATCAGATGGATCAAAGAAACAAGGGCTCAGCAACCAAATACACGTGTAAGGGACTCTTGATATAACGGATTTCTTAATGGTTTTTTTTTTGAAAACTTTCACAATAGAACGGGTGAATCCATTATATCGTGTATATGACATACTACTGCAACAAAGTGAATATAGTATCACAAAATAATTTGATGACACAAAGTACTAATGCCAATAGTTCACTCATACGTACGTATAAAGTAATCAATCCTGTAATTCTTTTTCTTTTTATCTTTTATAAAACATTAATGAAATAAAAATAGCTAGAATAACATAATAGACATTCGAATCACAATTTCATTTAATATGATCTGGGAAACTTGTAAGGTTTATGGATCATTCCGAAATTGACAATAATAATATAAAATGGCTAAAGATAACTGATATCGAAGTTTAAAAATGGTTTGAATTGGCGATAATTTTATCAAAAGTTTTCCGGGTCCTATTCTACCTCTAATGTTAGAGAAGCTAAGAAAAAAGCTATTATCAAACTATTTTTAGAGAAAATTACAAGATATTATAAGTGAAGATTATAAAATGATTTTTCACATTATATTGGCAATACAATAAATATTAATAAAGATTTTTTTAAGTCAAAAAATATTATTATTTTTCTAACATATATATAAAAAAGCATTTATCAAAAATAAAATCGAAAATATTATTTGTTTAACATATACAAAATTATGGAATCATGTGAATGATTTATTTATAAAACATAATATATTCTAACATATATTTTTTCTGGATTTTTTAGATTTAATCTGACAAAGTTGTTCTAATGGCAAAGTTATTGTAAAAATTTTTTATAAAATTAATTATAAAAATTTTTACAATAACTGCGATTAGCAACTTTGTCAGAAAAAAATATAAATTATGATCTTTATTTTGATATAAAAATAAAAAATATATATTAATAAAATTGAAAACTTTTATACAAGACAAAAATTTCAATTTTTACTGTTTTATTAATGCGTAATTCCATAATTTTGTTAGTCACTATATATAATAATAATTATTTATGATTATTTAAGAAATTGACCAATAAAATAATAGAATATATACAATTCATAGAATATTCTTTAGATTTATATAATGTGCTTTCTATTGTTGGATTGTATATCAAGAATATTTGTGATTTTTCTGATGTTTCCCTTGTTAAGTTAATTTGGTTTGGATTGCTAAATCCAAACGGATCAATAATTTAAAAATTTGTTCGTTACACACCCCTACAATATATTACCGGAAATTTCAAAAATGAATTTGTCACTTTGGAACTCGATATCTCGACATCCGGTGATCCCTTTCGAACAAAGATATCACCATTAGATTCGT